TGGATGTGAGGAAACACTAAAGAACGTCGAGAACGATATAAATTGTATCTGTGAGACAATGAAAACAATTGTTTTTTAACCCTCTTACGCTACGCTAGGTTACGTAAGGTAGTTACAGCACGATTACATATTACCCTTCTCATCATTACATATCTGTATATGACAAAAAATACCAAAGAAATTAAGAAATGATTCATTTAACTGTATTTTTATCAGTTTATTTATAGTTTATATTAAACAATCATCTCCTTTTGTTAAGATTGGAACTATTTTACGCTGCCAGGATCTTTCCCTGTTTGTGCCTGAAGCAAACTTTAAACAAACAACGTATTTTGTTGTTTAATTTGGAGGATTTTGGTGTCAGATTAATCTTATCAACATGTTTGGCCTCACACCTGTTTGCTGATGGTGGGTCTCCTCAGGGCGACGTCAGCGGTCGCTGTGGACGAGCTGGTCTTTGTGCTGCTGTTGGATCCGTTGGCTGCACGCAAACATTAAAAACAGCACATTATTTAACAAATGACAGCTGGAGTCTTAACTTCTGTCCAATAATGAGCGAGGAAATCTTTTTGTGCTCCTTCACACCAAAACGACGACTGATGACGACATTTACAGCCAATTTGAGGTGAAAACAGCTGTTTGTTGACGCTTCCTGTCACTGAATTACTCTTTTACACATAAAAACGCACATCGAAGGAACGCCATTATTGAGCCCTTAGCCCGGAGGGGTTCACAGCTCTGTGTGCAGTCTGGTTTTCATCCTATAGGCCCCTTAATGGTTCTTCATCGGCTGTGATTCATAAGCTGTCTGCTCGCTGTACATCACATCCTCTCACATCTCCAGCTGAAGGTAAAACACGTGAGCACGGCAGAGTGCGACGCCTGAGGGCCGCACGTCGCAGCCGTGGACGCTGGTCGGAGCAGGACCGGGAACCCGCCTGCAGAGAAACTCCTAAAATAACAATGACGACCACTTAAAGGGGAAATAAGAAATCTTCATTGACCTCCGTTAGTGTCAGATTTATCATCATCATCAGAATATTTAACCTATGAGGGATATATAATGTTATTTTATGTTAGCTGTTTCTGATCGACCCATTTAAGAAATACCTCAAACATTGGAGGAAATAAGATCATTCTCTTATTCGAAGTTAAACTGCCGTTGGCATCAGCTTTAAACTGTTGTTCACCAAGTAATAATTACAGCACTTTACACTTGTTAAACTACAAAATTGTGTTATTTTTACGTATGTTTCTGTACAAAGATTTGAATAAGTGAGTGACTCTTTAGGAGAACTTGGCTTTCTGTTTCCCCCCGTTGATCTGAACCAAAATTACAAGTGTGAAATCTTCTTCGGACTACGATGAAAAGAGGCGGTCTGAGTCCGCATGAACCATAGTTCGGATTGTTTATTGTGTGTTTTTTTGGACTTTTTGGACCAGTTATAGGAAGTTACACAGGCTCATCATCAGAACCATCAAAAAATAACACAACAAAAATGTTGTTTTAAAATTGAAATATGATCTGATTATGTTATATCTGCTGTGTGTGGAGCTGCCCTCCATCCTGCAGAGGAGCGACTGTGTTCAATGTACTTTACAGCCAATGGATTTTTGTTTTTTGACCCAAAAAATTATAAATATTGGGAACAAAACGGGTCATTTAGAGAAATCCGTTGCACTGACAATGAAACTTGTAAAAAACACAAATCTATCTAGAGGCAATGTTCTGGGCTACTGTAGAAACATGGTGGGTTTGTGGCGTCTATAGTTTCTCCTACATACTTGGAAGGTTAAAGTGAAGTGAGGGGGTTATCATAAAAAAAAAAAATCACCAAATCTGGAGACACATGGTGTGAAATGGTAAGTTTTGTGACCCTGATCTTATCAATTCTTTTTATCAACGGCAGCTATGTTTTGGACGTAATGCAAAATAACAATGTCAAACTCGAGTCTACGCCGCTGGAAACTGGCAACAAGAAGGAGTCTAACTGCAAAAACTACACACAGTGTTAAGACTCACAGAATCCATAATGATATTGATATAAATACAATCTGATCAGAATCTCATCCAGAGTAAAATGTACAATATATGCCTCTGAGATGTAGTAAAGTTGCTTAAAATGTAAATACATGAATCTGTACTCGAGTACCAGACCTTGGCCTTCATTAAACTTCTGCCTCTCTGAAGGAGGATCGCACTTGTCTGGGTTGAACGCTGACAAACTCGCCCGCAGCCAACCGCCTCCCCGCTCGTGTGTTCGGGCGTCGCGCCAGCAGAAAGAACAAAAACCATCTGCTATCTGCTGCGATGTCGTTAGCGAGGGTGGCTGGCAGCGATGGAACATAATAAGCCAGTCATTAAGAAAAATGTAGGATCTCCTCCAGGAGCGCCGGCTGAGGTTTCGCGATAGTGTGGAGGAAAACACGTCAGAGAAAATGTATTACAAGAGATTTGTCAAAGGTTTGTAAAAACTGTTGGAAGTATAGTGCAATCACTTATTATGTCAGTTAAAAACTCTTCTGCTCTGAGGATAATAAGCAGATTAATACGGATGATGACTGATTGCCAAACTAAAGGAGGATTAATCTGTCTGACAGGGAAACATGTTGAGAAATTAAATCATGACCTGCAGCTTCAAAAGTGGAAACAAAACAGATATTATATCATCTCTAACCTCTAAAAACCTCCATAAAAGACACAGTTTCTCATCCCTTCAGCGCCTGTGTTCAGGGTTGAGAACGGGCTGAAGATAAAGGCTCAGTTTTACCATATGGTGAGGGGTTGTGGCGTGCCAGCGGGCTCTGTGGGGCCTCGGCCGACGAGGAGGGACGTCGCCATGTTGTTTCTGGAACGACACAAACAACAACAGGAAGGAGGACAGTTGCACATGTGATAAATAAAAAGTTAATGTGTGTTTCTTTCATGGGTTTTGGGGTTTTCTTTGGTTATTTCCTGTTTTATTTTGTAGTTTTTGCTCCTCTTGTGTCTTGTTTTAGCCGCCTCGATTGTGTTGACCTGTGTCTAATTAGTTTCCCCTCACTAGAGTATATATTTCCTGTGTCTCCGTCACTCTGGGTTTGTTCCTCCTGTCACAGAACGCGAGGATTTGGACCCAAATGCAGACGAGCGGAGCAGCTGTGAAACAAAAACTCGAAAGGAGGAAAACTACAAAATAAAATAAAGGAAGTAACTCAATTTAATCAGCAGATTGTGACTGAAATGTACTGAACACATTCATGTTCCTCAGAGGATAAACTGTTTACACTTTTTCTAATTTTAATAACCTTTCTGCATATTGGTCAGACTTTAAGAGTAAAAACAACATAAATGTTTTGTGCTACTTTTGTCTTTTTATTGAGATCTTCCTTGTTGTATGTTAAAATACAGGAAATCTCCCCAAACATCTCTTTTAAATATCATTCAGTTAAAGTAAAAACAACTTTGTTGTGCCAGAACTCCTGATGAGAAAGCAGGAAGCTCGTCGTCCTGCTGTATTTTAGTCGTCTATCACTGTGATCAGGAATCATTCCACTCAGCAGAGCAGGAAGTCCTTCACGCTGTAAAGCTGCTGGGTGAATCGGTTTTTGAAGAAATACTGGAACGTTTATCAGCACTGATGTTCAAATGTGTGTGAATGGAAACTGAAAGTCAACAACCAGCAACATGTCTAACAAACTGTTGATCTAGTTGGGTGGGAAGGGAGCACTTTATCCGACCAGTGTACCATGTGGGATGCTGATTTGAACACCTGCTGTAATCCAGGGTTCAGTGTTTTCTTGCTTAAGGACACTTCCACATGCAGACAGGAAGAGGTGGGAATCGAACCTTGGTCAGTGGACCCGCTCTACCTGCAAACATTTAGCAGGTTTGTAATGTTACTTCAGGCTGATTGTAAACTGCTTCTTGTTTCTACTCACTGCTACCAAACGATAACAAACGTAATCACACACAATCACAGTTTTTAAGCCTCAGCTCCTTCTCGTTAAGTCTTCCTCATCAGTCCAAATCCCACCGTCACATTTACAACTCCGGAGGGATTAAGAGGAAGGATTGTTCAACTGATCCTCCCTCCAAAATCAACAAGCAGCTTTCTAATAAACGCTGTAATACACACCAACCCCTCTGTGACACACACACACAGTCTCAGTGGCAGCAAAGCTCATTTTTCAAACAACAACAAACTGTAAGGAAATAAAAAGTGACGGCTGCTGAATAAAAATAGCTTTTGGGTGTTTGTGTGATATCTGCCAGAGATGTTGTTGATGCAGCTTCGGTCCCGTGGGAGCGCCCCGTCCTATCCCCACTTGGATGTCTTCCACAAACGAGGTGTAAAATGTGACACAGATGTTTGTGAAATGTCACCTGATATTCCAGCCCTCCTGCATTAACATAAACACCTCGCCGTTCTCGTTCAGGAAGCGGCGTGTTGAGTCCCACAGATCTTCTCTGGCGGAGATAGTCGGCCCCGGAGTGCCGCACGTTTAAGATAATCAGA